TTTTTTTTTTTTTCTGAGACAGAGTCTCGCTCTGTCGCCCAGGCTGGAGTGCAGTGGCGTGATCTCAGCTCGCTGCAACCTCCTCCTCCAGGGCTCAGGTGATTCTCCAGCCTCAGCCTCCTGAGTATCTGGGATTACAGGTGCATTCCACCACACCCAGCTAATTTTTTTTATTTTTAGTAGAGAAGTGGCTTCACTGTGTTAGTCAGAATGGCCTCAATCTCCTGAGATCCTGATCCAGCAGCCTTGGCCTCCCAAAGTGCTGGCATTACAGGCGTGAGCCACTGTGCCTGGCCCTCTTTTTTTTTTTCTTTTTTCTTTTGTGGTAGAGATGGGGTTTCACCATATTGCCCAGGCTGGTCTTGAACTCCTGGGCTCAAGGTATCCACCTGCCTCGTCCTCCCAAAGTGTTGGGATTACAGGTGTGAGCCACTATGCCCAGCCTTAGGTTTTTACACTGCCTGAAAAGATTTACCTCGTGGATTTAGGATAATGATGCAAACCCAAAATGTGGAAAGGTGATATTTCCACTTGAATTTTTACTAGGATTTAAGACATGTGTTTTCTCATCTTTCAGGGCTTGAGTTAGACTGAGATATCCACCTGGAAAGCTTCCGACGTCTCAGCCTGCCACACTTTCAAGCTGAGGGACCACAGCTGCCTGGATACACTCTGTTAGATCCTAAGCCGACAAGAGATCTGACTGCACCGCTGTCTTGGACCAAAACAATCAGTCTGGGCGCAGTGATGTCAGCACTCAGGCCATGGCCATCATTAATCAAGTGTGCAAAGTCAGTAAAGAGCAAAGTGTCAATGTGAGAAGACGCAGTGGGAGACACACCTGAGCTGGTATCACATAATCGGCCACATCCCAGATCCGGAATCCAAGTTCAGAAGTGTTGGTCACAGCCACGCCCTTGACCTTGGTCGTAACGGAGCTGACCACGGAGTCAGTTTCCTGGTAGCCCTTTTCCCACACAAACACCCACCTATAAAATAAAACAGGCCTCTTAAATTGCCATTAGGATTCAGTGGATTTGAACTGATGCCAGGAAGCCTCTGCCAGCCAGAGGCTGGAAGTATGGTGTTGACGCCTAATCACGTGACTTCTAGAGCCTCCATTTCCACTTCTGCCAAATGAGAATAGTAGCACCTAAACCACAGGAGGGTTTGCAGGAAACAAATGAGGTGGTGCAGGTAAAGCACTCAGCACACTGACGGCACAAAGAAAACGCTCGATGAATAGGGTCTTCATTACATGTGTTGTAACAGTTACCACTGGGGTGTTTATAGGCACCAGGCACTGATCTAAGCTCTTTATATGTATCAACTCATTAAATCCTGACCACTTTATAAGGCAGGTATTATTATTATTATTATTTCCATTTTACAGAGGAGGAAACGGAGACACAGAGAGGTTAAGTCAATTGCCCAAGGTCACACAGCTAGTGAGTGGCAGAGTCAGGATTTGAGGTCAAGCCAGAAGCCTCTGAAGCCTCTTCTCTCACCCACTATGCTCTCCTGTAAGCTCGTCCAATCCATGGTACACAGGACGCATGCAGCCCAGGATAGCTTTAAATGAGGCCCAACACAAATTCGTTATGACTTTTTTTTTGCCTTTTTTTTTTTAGCTCATCAGCTATTGTTAGTTTTAGTGTATTTTATGTGTGGCTAAAAATAATTCTTCTTCCAATGTCGCCCAGAGAGGACAAAAGATTGGACACCCCTAGGCTACTCTTTCTACAAAAGAGAATTCTACCCTTTAACCAACTTTTAAGAGCGGTTTCTTACTTTTCCCCCAATAATTCTCATCACATATATGCTTCTCTCCTCTGAATTGGGAATATGACTACCAGTCTGAACAATTAAAAATCCAAAGGCGCTGGGTATAGTGGCTCACACCTGTAATCCCAGCACTTTGGGAAGCTGAGTGGAGAAGACTACTTGTGTCCAAGAGCTCGAGACAAGCCTGGACAATGGAGGGATCTCTACAAAAAATAAAAAATTAGCTGGGCACGGTGGCTCACGCCTGTAATCCCAGGATTTTGGGAGGTCAGGGCGGCTGGATCATGGGGCCAGGAGTTCGAGACGAGCCTGGCCAACATGGTGAAATCACTCCAGCCTGGGTGATAGAGCAAAACTCTGTCTCAAAAAAAAAAAAAAAAAAAAAAAAAATTAGCTGGGCATGATGGTACACATCTGCGAGCCCAGCTACTTGGGAGACTGAGGTGGGAGGATCACCTGAGCCTGGGAGATGGAGGCTGCAGTGAGTTATGATGCCATTGCATTCCAGCCTGGGTGACAGAGCAAGACCCTGTCTCAAAAAAAAACATCTCCAGGCATTAGCTCATAGGGGTTAGGACAGACAGGAGGCAGCAGGCCCTGGTTCATGGCTCAGGTCCAGCACTCACCAGGCATAACTTTGGCCAAGGTGCTTAGCCTCGTTGTGCCTTAGTTTTCCCATCTATAATATGGGAATGATAGAACTTCACAGGATTCTTGTGAGGGTAAATGAGTTAATGTATGACAAATGTTTGAAACAATGTTTATGAGTCATCGTTGATTATGGAGCAAGTATTGACACCGTGGAAATTGGCCAGTACTACAAATCAGGACTCCTCCCTCCAAACTGTTGTCAAACATCTACTAGAGACTATTAGTGTCGTTATTTATAGAATCAGAAAACGATAGGTTCCTCCTTCTTCTAAGTCCTAGATGCTGAGACTTCAGAAATTCACTGGTTTTGTTGAGGTCAGGAGTTCCAGACCAGCCTGGGAAAGATGATGAAATCCTGTCTCTACTAAAAATACAAAAATTAGCTGGGTGTGGTGGTGGGTGCCTGTAGTCCTAGGTACTCGGGAGGCTGAGGCAGCAGAATCACTTGAACCCACGAGGTGGAGGGTGCAGTGAGTTGAGATCGTGCCATTACATTCCAGCCTGGGCGACAGAGTGAGACCCAGAAAGAAAGAAGGAAAGAAGGAAGGAAGGAAGGAAGGAAAGAAAGAAAGGGAATTAACTGGTTTTCTGGTTTTCATTACTTACTTATGAGTGTGTCTGATTGAGCAGTCTCCAAGTTCATTGCCCAGCCTAGAGATGGGCTTTCCCCCTCACAAGTTCCTTTTCTTCTGAATTCCTGGAAGCCAGGAATTCAGCTGCAGTGTAAGCTTCCATTTAATTCTAGTCTGACACACAAAAGCTTGGGGCAGGAAGACTGATATACTCATCAATTGCAGTGAGTTGCCTAACTTGGAGACACAGGGTTTTGTGCCACTCATTATCATGTGATTCCTTCCTCATCATGTGACTGTTAACAGAGTTAGATAAATGAGAACTGCGTATTCGGTCTCTTTTTAAGGAAGAGTTGCTATAGGAGGAGACCACAATTTCGCCAAGATGAGTTGGATCAGAAAGTTAAGAGATGAGTTAAAAAAAGCCTTCATTCAGATCCTGAGTCAGTTTTGATTATAGCAAGATGGACAAAAGCAAAGCATTTATTGCTTTAAAGATTCTCATGACTGAGATAGTGAATACACCATAAGAAATCCTACAGAGCTATGCTCTCCAATAAAACATAATATGAGCTACATTTTTTTTTTTCCTTTTTTTTGAGACAGGCTCTCTGTCGCCCAGGCTGAAGTGCAGTGGTGCAATCTCGGCTCACTGCAACCTCCGCCTCCCAGGCTACAGCGATCCTCCCACCTCAGCCTCCCAAGTGGCTGGGTGCATAGTGGTGCACGCCACTATGCCCAGCTAATTTTTTGTATTTTTGGTAGAGATGGGGTTTCACTATGTTGCCCAGGCTGGTCTCAAAACTCCTGAGCTCAAGGGATCCACCTGCCTCAGCCTCCCACAGTACTGGGATTACAGGCACAAACCACCTCAGCCATATGTAATTTAAGTTTCTAATAGCCATGTCAAAAAGTAAAAAGGAACAGGAAGAGCCAGGTGCGGTGGCTCACGCCTGTAATCCCAGCACTTTGGGAGGCTGAGGTGGACAGACTGCTTGAGCTCAGGAGTTTGAGACCAGCCTGGGCAACATGGAAACCTCATGATTGTAGAGATGAGAACCTTTATCTCTACCAAAAAAATTACAATAATTAGCCAGGTATAGTGGTGTGCACCTGTAGTGAAAGTAATTCCAGAGGCCGAGGGGGGAGAATCACTTGATCCTGGGAGGCGGAGGTTGCAGTGAGCTGAGATAGTGCACTGCACTTAGGTCTGGGTGACAGAGCGAGACCTCATCTCAAAAAGAAAAAAAAAAAAACAGGAAAAATTAATTGTAATGATATATTCTGTGTAACCCGATATATCCAAAATATTTTAGCATGTCATCAATAGAAAATGTATTGATGTGATAGTGGTACTCTTTTTTATTTTTTTGAGACAGTGTCTTGCTCTGTTGCCCAGGCTGGAGTGTGGTGGTGTGGTCACAGCTCACTGTGGCCTCGACCTCTCAGGCTCAAGCAATCAATCCTCTTGCTTCAACCTCCCAAACAGGTAGGGCTACATGCATGTGCCACCATGCCAGGCTAATTTTTTTTTTTTTTTGAGATGAAGTCTCGCTCTGTCACCCAGGCTGGAGTGTAGTGGCGAGATCTCGGCTCACTACAACCTCCGCCTCCTGGGTTCAAGCAATTCTCCAGCCTCTGCCTCCCGAATAGCTGGGATTACAGGTGCCTGCCACCACACCCAAATGATTTTTCTATTTTTGATAGAGATGGGGTTTCACCATGTTGGTCAGGCTGATCTTAAACTCCTGATCTTGTGATCCACCCGCCTTGGCCTCCCAAAGTGTTGGGATTACAGGCGTGAGCCATCATGCCCGGCCAATTTTGTTTTTGTTTTTTTGTAGAAGCAAGGTCTCACTATGTTGCCCAGGTTGGTCTCAACTCGAGCAAGTGATCCTCCCACGTCAGCCTCCCAAAGTTCTGGGATTTCAGGCGTGAGCCACCGTGCCCGGCCTCTTTTCTGTACTGTATCTTTGAAATCCCGTATGTTTTACAGTTATAGCACATCTCAGTTTAGAGTAGAACAGTTGAAGTATTCAGTAGCTACATGTTACTACCAAACAGTATGACATCGCTATGGATACTCGCTGCAGTCGTCATTTTCCAGGTACCCTAAGGTAGATATGCACTGATTCTCCCACTAGCCGCAAACGCCAAAAGCAAAAAGCCACAGGGGAGCTCCCGGCCCAAATGCTTCAGGTCCAACCACAGATGTGAGTCCAGTTAACGGGCTAGCAGTGGGTCTCAAAAAAAGAGATTTTTTTTTTTTTTTTTTTGAGTTTCACTCTTCTTGCCCAGGCTGGAGTGCAGTGGTGCAATCTTGGCTCACTGCAACCTCTACCTCCTGGGTTCAAGCGATTCTCCAGCCTTTGCCTCCCGAATAGCTGGGATTACAGGCGCCTGCCACCACACCCAAATGATTTTTCTATTTTTGATAGAGATGGGGTTTCACCATGTTGGCCAGGCTGGTCTTGAACTCCTGACCTCAGGTGATCCACCCGCCTTGGCCTCCCAAAGTGCTGGGATTATAGGCATGAGCCACCGCGCCTGGCCCCCCAAAAATTTCTTTTTTCCTTTGAGATGGAGTCTCACCCTGTCGCCCAGGCTGGAGTGTAATGTGTGATCTCAGCTCACCGCAACCTCATCTCCAGGATTCAAGTGACTCTCCCGCCTCAGCATCCCAAGTAGCTGGGATTATAGGCAGCTGCCATGATGCCCGGCTAATTTTTTTTTATCTTTTTTTGAGACGGAGTCTCGCTCTGTTGCCAGGCTGGAGTGCAGTGGTGCAATTTGGCTCACTGCAACCTCTGCCTCCTGGGTTCAAGTGATTCTCCTGCCTCAGCCTCCGGAATAGTTGGGATTATAACTATTAGCCCAGCTAATATTTGCATTTTTAGTAGAGACGGGTTTTCACCATGTTGGCCATGATGGTATTGATCTCTTGACCTTGTGAGCTACCTGCCTCAGTCTCCCAACGTGCTGGGATTACAGGGGTGAGCCACCGCACCTGGCCTAATTTTTTTGTGTCTTTAGTAGATACAGGGTTTCACCATGTTGGCCAGGTTGGTCTCGAACTCCTGACCTCATGATCTGCCCACCTCAGCCTCCCAAATTGCTGAGATTACAGGCTTGCACCACCATGCCCGGCCCTAAGTTTTTTTTTTTTTTAATACCTCTCCATCAGTAAAATTGACCATTTTAACCTTTTAGAGAAGGGGTCTCGAAAATTTTCCAGGCTTTCTTGAGCTCCTGGCTTCAAGTGATCCTCCCAGTTTGGCCTCCCAAAGCACTGGAGCTACAGGTGTGGGCCAGGTGGTTCTGATGTTGGGTCTGTACCTGAAAAACCATCTCGAATACTGTCTGCACCTACTGCTGCTGACAGATGTTAGAAGGCAAACCTGCTCGGTCATGGGGAATTCCCCTAGGCAGTATTCAGATTCCAAACCTCATCCCAAGGAGGGGGATCTGTTACTTTTAAACAGTTCTTCAGATGAGTCTTCCATATCAGATAAGGTTGGGAAACACAGTTCACTGGTTCTGAAACGTTGCTGAACATCAGAATCACCTGGGGAGCTGATCATACGCCACAGCAATTAAATCAGAAGGTCTGGGGATGCATCTGGGCACAGTGGCTCACACCTATAATCCTAGCACTCTGGGAGGCCGAGGCAGGTGGATCGCTTGAGGCCAGGAGTTGGAGACCAGCCTGATCAACACGGCAAAACCCCCTTTTCTACAAAAAATACAAAATTTAGCAAGGGCCACTTTAAAGTGGCCCTAGGTGACAAGGTGATTCCCATCTTCTCTCTTGGGTTGTATTCAATAGTAACAGGTGCTGGCCGGGCGAAGTGGCTCACGCCTGTAATCTCAGCACTTCGGGAGGCTGAGGCGAGTGGATTACCTGAGGTCAGGAGTTCAGGATCAGACTGGCGAACATGGTGAAACCCCATCCCTACTGAAAAATACAAAAATTAGCCGAGCATGGTGGCAGGCGCTGTAATCCCAGCTACTCTGGAGGTGTAGACAGGAGAATCGCTTGAACCTGGGAAGTGGAGATCATGGCACTGCACTTCACCCTGGGTGAGAGAAACTCCACCTCAAAAAAAAAAAAAAAGAGTAACAGGTGACTTCAAGTACAATGGCACATCCAGTGAGGCCTGAGACGGTAGGTAGGGCATCTCTAGCCTAAGGGGGCAGCGTGGAGAATGACTGGGCTAGAGCAGGTACCATAAAAAGCCCCACAATCTTACAAAACAAAGGACGAGAACTTTAAATACTGTTGAAGTCTGACCTCGCTATATTTCCTTTGATCACACAGTGAACAAAAGAAATGAAAAGAAGTCACCGACTGGGAAGGAACCAAGCGGAAATTCCAATCTTTGGTTTTGTCAGCAAATCAACAGGATGGGAAGTGAATAGCGAAGATTGAGACGTTCAGGGCAAAACCCCCACAGCCAAGGGGCACTATGCGTCAAGCAGGAGAGGGTAAAGGCTTAGCCAGGCTTTGCCTTTATTTATTTTGTAAAGAGATGGCTCTCACACTGTCTCCCAGGCTCCGGCGTCGTGCTGTGATCACAGCTCACTGCAGCCTCAGCCTCCTGGGCTCAAGCGATCCTCCCACCATAGCCTCCTGAGTAGCTGGGACCCCAGGCGCGCGACACCACGGCCCGACTGATTTTTAATTTTTTGCAGAGACAGGGTCCCACGATGTTGTCCAAACTGGTTTCGAACTCCTGGGCTCGGACGATGGGCCCGCCTAGGCCTCCCAAAATGCTGGGATTACAGGCGTGCGCCACCGCGCCCGGCCCAGGCTGTGGCTTCAAAACAGCCCCAAGCAGCCTCCTGCCCCCGGGACCCCGGCGCGGCGGCTGGAGCCCGGGGAAGGTGTCACCGCCTCGGCTTGCCGCCCCCATACTCGCCCAGGTATGGGGCCGAGGCCGAGATGAGCCGCCACAGGGCGCGGAGCCGAGGGCAGCCCCCGCCCGACCCCGCGCGACCCCCGCCCGACCCCGCGCGGCCGCGCTCACCCGATGACGTAGGCCAGGATGAGCAGCTGCACGGCGCGGTTCATGAGCCCCACTTTGCGGCTGCGGATGAGCACGATGCGCGGCGTGTCGTACTCGAACAGGAAGGCCGCCAGCGCGGCGCAGCAGCCCGCCATGGCCGCGCCGCCCGCTCCCCGTCCCAGAGCGCGTCTGGGTCTCGGTCCCTGCTCGGAGCCCCGCCCAGCCCGGCCGGCCTGCGGCGCCGTCACGGCGGGGAAGGGCCTGGAAGGAGGCGGTGCGGGCCGTTGGGGCCCGGGGCCCGGGGGAGGGCGCCACCTCCCCGTCGGGAACCAGGACCCTCTAGGGAGCCTGGAACTCGTGGGGAGTGAGTGGCCTCGCCCCTGGGGACGAAGACTCCTTCCAAAGGCGGGCGAGGGGCCTGGCGCGGTGGCTCACATCTGTCATCCCAGCGCTTTCGGAGGCCGAAGTGAGAGGGTCCCTTGACTTAGAGAGATCAGCCTGGACAACATAGCGAGACCCCGTCTCTATCAAAAATACCCACGAAGCCGGGCGTAGTGGCGGTCGCCTGTGGTCCCAGCTACTGGGGAGGCTGAGGTGAGAGGATCGTTTGAGCTCAGGAGGTCCAGGCTGCCTTGAGCTGTGATCTCGCCACTGCACGCCAGTCTGGGAGACGAAGCGAGACCCTGCTTCAAAAAACCAGAAACCAAAAAACAGCAAAAAAGGCTGGCTGGGGAGTAATGACCTTCGCAGGAGGGCCAGGGAGAACGAGAGACTGTTTCGGGGAGGGGGGTCCGCGAGGAGAGAGTGACCTCCCATTTGGGGCCGAGTTCAAGTGAGGGGTAAGGAGCGACCCCCATTAGGGGTCCTTTTAGGTGCCAGCGACTTCCATAGAGGACTCGGGGGCTGTCTGGAGCAGCCATCGCTCAGGACCACAGGCTCCTAAACGCGTGCAGCTGGAGCTGGGGGAGCAGGGGAAGCTGGGGCCGCGCTGCCCTCAGCCTAAATATTCAGATGTCGTGTGAGCTCTGGGTGAGAGCCACACATCCTGTAAGACGCCCCTCCTGGATTTGAAGCCTGGCCGCATTCTCACGCCAATCCAAATGCTTCCTTAGCTGCAGCCCACGGGAGGTGATTCTGTGGTCATCCTTTCCACAGAGAAAATGGTATCACGGGCCGGGCACGGTGGCTCAAGCCTGTAATCCCAGCACTTTGAGAGGCCGAGGCGGGTGGATCACGAAGTCAAGAAATCTAGACCATCCTGGTCAACATGGTGAAACCCCGTCTCCACTAAAAATACAAAAAATTAGCTGGGCATGGTGGCGCGTGCCTGTAATCCCAGCTACTCAGGAGGCTGAGGCAGGAGAATTGCCTGAACCCAGGAGGCGGAGGTTGTGGTGAGCCGAGATGGCGCCATTGCACTCCAGCCTGGGTAACAAAAGCGAAACTCGGTCTCAAAAAAAAAGAGAAAAAGAAAATGGTATCACAACTTCACGGGAGAATTGGAAAATAGAGGGACAGTGGGGGAAACAGCCACCGTTCTACTCCAAAAACACAATTTTCCACCTGGATATTTGTTCATTCCCTTCATATATGTTTTCTTTCTCTCTCTTTTTTTTGACGGGGGGGTTGGGGGTGGATAGAGTTTCACTCTTGCTGAGGCTGGAGTGCAGCGGCCTGATCTCGGCTGACTGCAACCGCTGCCTCACAGGTTCAAGTGATTCTCCTGCCTCAGCCTCCCGAGTAGCTGGGATTACAGGCACCTGCCACCACGCTCAGATAATTTTTGTATTTTTAGTAGCGCTGGGGTTTCACCATGTTGGCCAGGCTGGTCTCCAGCTCCTGACCTCACATGATCCTCCTGCCTGGGGCTCCCAAAGTGTTAGGATTACAGGAGTCAGCCACCGCAACAGTATGTTTTTATAGGTGAATGTTATATTTACTTTCCCTAATACATTCAGAAAATATTAATAAGCACATTCCATATGCCAAACACTATCCAGTGAAGAGAACAAGCAAAATATCCTGCCGTCATGCAGCATGAATTCTACCAGGTAATCGGTATAAAGTTACGGTGTAATCACAGTCAATGGTTGTGCTTTTCATTTTCTGATTCACACTACTTGGTTTCTATGTTACTGCAGACTCATAATGATTTTTTTTTTGAGACAGAGTCTCGCTCTTGTTGCCCAGGCTGGAGTGCAATGGCGCCATCTTGGCTCACTGCAACCTGCGCCTCCTGGGTTCAAGCGATTCTCCTGCCTCAGCCTCCTGAGTAGCTGGGATTACAGGCGCGCGCCACCACTAGGCTAATTTTATATTTTTCATAGAGATGGGGTTTCTCCATCTCTAGAGATGTTGGTCAGGCTGGTCTTGAACTCCCGACCTCAGGTGACCCACCTGCCTCAGCCTCCCAAAGTGCTGGGATTACAGGTGTGAGCCACCATGCCCAGCCCATAGTGATAATTTTTAATCCACGGACCATTTCTTCCGTAAAATATGGCATGATGTCTCTAACTGCTTTCATCTGCTTGCTTCTTACTTTGTGACTCCCGTGCATAATCTTTGATACAACATTTTTAATTCATTTCCTGGATGTGAGATTCCTAAGCTACACCAACTTGTTTTTCCAAATATAGAAAGGTGAATAATAAAATTTGCAGAAAACAGCATCTGCCTCTAAGAGATGGAATTGTTAAGTTAGAGGGAGGAACAGAGACGCCCATGCATGCCTTGGTCCAAAATGGTTCCAGGAAAAGGTGGTGGTATTTTATTCATTCATTTGACAGAAATTTACTGAGTGCCTGTTTTTCGCTTGGCAGTTTTCTGGATGCTAGGGATATGGAGTGAACAGACAGGTGAGGTCTCTGCCCAGATGGAGCTTGGTGCAATTGGGAAAGCTCAAATTCTCTATAGAAGAGGAAAACTCCCTTGCTAAATCCTCATTGGGAGGGGTCTTAAAAAATCATTTCCTTAAGAATCAAAACATGGCTGGGGGCAGTGGCTCACGCCTGTAATCCCAGCACTTTGTTTTGGGAGGCCGAGGCCGGTGGAGCACTTGAGATCAGGAGTTCCAGACCAGCCTGGCCAACGTGGTGTAATCCCGTCTCTACTCAAAATACGAAAAATTTAGCTGGGCGTCGTGGCAGGTGCCTGTAATCCCAGCAAATCAGGAAGCTAAGGTAGGAGAATCGCCTGAACCTGGGAGGCAGAGGTTGCAATGAGCTGAAATGGCTCCTCTGCACTCTAGCCTGGGTGACAGAGTGAGACTCCATCTCAAAAAAAAAAAAAAAGTCATGGCAATAATCAAAACACATTTCCAGCCCCTTCTCATACTTACTCTATAGTAATGAGTTCGTCTCAACCTTACAAATCCTCAATCTAGATGGTTTGCTTGTGTTTTGGAATGGGGACAGGTAAGAAAAACAGAAATGCAGGGGCCAGGCATGGTGGCTCAAGCCTGTAATTCCAGCACTTTGAGAGGCCGAGGCGGGTGGATCACAAGGTCAAGAGATCGAGACCATCCTGGTCAACATGGTGAAACCCCGTCTCTACTAAAAATACAAAAAATTAGCTGGGCATGGTGGTGCGTGCCTGTAATCCCAGCTACTCAGGAGGCTGAGGCAGGAGAATTGCCTGAACTCAGGAGGCGGAGGCTGCAGTGAGCCGAGGTCGCGCCATTGCACTCCAGCCTGGGTAACAAGAGCGAAACTCCGTCTCAATAAAAAAAAAAAAAGAAAAACAGAAATGCAAGTTTTCATAAATTACTAGTTGTAACATCATTAGGCCCAACCAGAGAAACTGATCCTAAAAAATAAATCAGCCGAGTGCTGTGGCTCAAGTCCGTAATCCTAGCACTTTGGGAGGCCAAGAAAAGGCCAGGAAAAGAAAGTGATTTTGTTTACACTGTTGCCCTTGGTTTATCTTTTTTTCTTTTTTTTCCGAGATGGAGACTCACTCTGTTGCCCAGACTGGAATGTAATGGCGTGATCTTGGCTCACTGCAACCTCCGCCTCCCTTGTTCAAGCAATTCTCCGGCCTCAGCCTCCTGAGTAGCTGGGACTATAGGTGTGTGTCACCATGCCCGACTAATTTTTTGTATTTATAATACAGATGAGTTTCACCACATTGGTTAGGATGGCCTTGATCTCCTGACCTTGTGATCCACTCACCTTGGCTTCCCAAAGTGCTGGGATTACAGGCTTGAGCCACAGTGCCCAGCCTGGTTTATTTCTTTTAAAAAAACAACAACTTTATTTGCCAGACACAGTGGCCCATTCCTGTAATCCCAGCACTTTGGGAGATTAACTTGGAGTATTGCTTGAGCTCAGGAGTTCGAGACCAGCCTGGACAACATAGGGAGACCACCCCCATCTCTACAAATACTTTAAAAATTAGCCAGGCATGCTATTGCATGCCTGTGGTCCCAGCTACTTGGGAGGGTGAGACAGGAGAATCACTTGAGTTTAGGGGGTCAAGGATGCAGTGAGCTGTAGTTGTACCACTGTACACCAGCCTGGGTAACAGAGTGAGACCCTGTCTCAAAAATAAGAAGGCTGGGTGCAGTGGCTCACACCTGTAATCCCAGCACTTTGGGAGGCCGAGGTGGGTGGATCACTTGAGGTTGATAGTTTGAGACCAGCCTGACCAATATGGTAAAACCCTGTCTCTACTAAAAATACAAAAATTAGCCAGGTGTGGTGGCACATGCCTGTAATACCAGCTACTTGGGAGGCTGAGGCAGGAGAATTGCCTGAACCCAGCAGGTGGTGGCTGCAATCAGCTGAGATGGTGCTACTGTACTCCAGCCTGGGTGACAGAGGGAGACTTCATCTCAAAAATAAAAATAAAAATAAATAAGGAAAGAAAGAGAAAGAAAATTAATTCAAACTGGATCAAAGACATAAATATAAGATCTACAATTATAAATCTCTGAAGAAAACATAGTGTTCATAGCAGCATTCATAATAGCCAAAAAATGGAAACAACCTAAATGTCCATCAACTAATGAGCAGATAAATACAATGTGGTCCATCCACACAATGGAATATGATTCAGCCCCAACAGGAAGGCAGCACTGACACGCTACACCATGGATGACCCTTGAAAACACCGTGCTGAGTGAGAGAAGCCAGACATGAGAGGGCACTTACTGTATGATTCTGTGTATAGGAAATGTCTGGAATAGGCAAATCCATAGAAACTGAAAGTAGAGGCTATGTGCAGTGGCTCACGCCTGTAATCCCAGCACTTCAGGAGGCTGAGGTGGGTGGATCACCTGAGGTCGGAAGATCGAGACCGGCCTGACCAACTTGGAGAAACCCTGTCTCTACTAAAAGTACAAAAATTAGCCAGGTGTGGTGGCGTGCGCCTGTAATGCCAGCTACTCTGGAGGCTGAGACAGGGGAATCGCTTGAACCTGGGAGCAGAGGTTGCGGTGGGCTGAGATCGCGCCACTGCACTCAGCCTAAGCCACAAGAGCAAAACTCCATCTCAAAAACAAAAACCAAAAAACAAAAAAACCAGAAAGTAGATTAGTGGTTGCCAGGGGCCGGAGGAAAGGAAGGCTGGAGGGTGAGTGCTGATGAGTACGAGGTTTCCATTTAGGGGACGAAAATGTGCTAGGAAAGAAAGTGGTGATATTGCGGAACCTTGAGTATGCTAAAAGCCGCTGAATTGTACATTTAAAAAGAGTAAACTTTATGGTACGTGAGTTATGTCTCAGTAATAATTCCAATAAACAGGGAGTAAACAAGAAAAGCAAAGTGTATACCATGAATCCATGGGGCCAGACCTCATGTTCTTTCTTCATAGGGGAGCATCTCAGGCCCTCACACCAAGCGTATCTTTTTTTTTTCTTTTTGAGACAGTGTCTCACTGTGTCACCTGGGTGGGATCTCGGCTCACTGCAACCTCCACCTCTCAGATTCAAGCAATCTTCCCACCTCAGCCTCGCAAGTAGCTAGGACTGCAGGCACTTGCCACCATGCCCAGCTTTTCTTTTTTTTTGTATTTTTGGTAGAGACGGGGCTTCACCAGGTTGCCCAGGCTGATCTTGAACTCCTGAGCTCAAGTGATCCAGCTGCCTCGGCCTCCCAAAGTGCAGGGATTATAGGTGTGAGCCACTGTGCCCAGCCTCTATTTTTATTTTAATGCAATTGGAACAGTTTTGATTATCTGCTTCCTTTGTGGTTGGGGAAGACATTAAGTCAGTACCTCCTTTCTCTAGGCTGTCCTTTCTCCCAGAGGTGGTGCCGCAGCCATTTTTATACTAGGTGACTTTATCCTCCTGGCCACAGCTGACTGAAACACAGGTGGGAGCCTGACCCAAACCGGCCCAGTCTCTCTGGTTTTGGCCTTGGGATACAGACAACTCTTTCTTCTCTGTAGGTGACTGGAACGGATTTGATGTAACCCTCACGTGCATGGAGAAGCTGAGAACAGTAATCTGCGGAAGCAAAACAGTGAGACAGCCGGGCAAAGACACACAGAGGTGAGAGACGAAGAGACTGACCTCTGGTTTCTGCTGAGCTTCTACTTCCTGGTTCTGCCCCCTACCCCGTTCACCTTTACCTTTGAGATACCCCCATAATCTTAGAATAAACATACATTTTTTGCTTAAGCTATTAGCCTCCAGAAACTTGGAATTAAAAAGACTATGGCTATAGCCCTAGGATCTAACAGATGAAAAATGTACTATGTCACCAGTAACGTAGGTGGTAAAACAAACATTTCTTTGAATGCAGCAAGTTAGAAAGAGATGGGACACATTGCCCAAGGCCACCAATACTAAGAGCAGCAGATACGCAAATAGCCCATAAAAAAGAAATGTTTCTATAAAAAGCAGAGCCAAGAACTCCAAAAAACCCATCAGTCTGGGACCATTTAGTTTAGAGGCCAGTGGTAATAGGCCTCAGTGTGCCTTAGGGTGTCATTTGGTTACAGTTATGTAAGACTGACATTTGTCACCATGTCCTTGAGTCGCAAAAGGCCAGGCAAATGAGACAGTGTCATTTGTTCAGAAGAATCCTTAGTGAAAAGTTTAAATTACACGTGCAGGCATTTAAAGCTGTAAGATTCGCTCATCTGGCACAGAGATACTGTGAAATACGTCATTGTATAACATAATGACAGATATGTGCGGCACACAGTGTAATTATAGCTACGTCCAGAAGCAGGACGTCTAAATAAAGAACAAGTTGATAGCAAAAGTGAGGAATAAGTCATTTTATAATTTTGCTCTTGCTTTCCCTGGGTAGTCCTTGAGACTGAATCTCTTGTGGAACAAGAAAAAGAAAAGCAAAAAAACAGAACAGAAAAACCCTGACTCTTATCTCATAGGCCATATGTTGATCACAGATAATCCTCTCGACCCCATCAGACCCAATGTCCTTTTTGGTTTTTTGACACAGGGTCTCTCTCTGTTGCCCAGGTCTGCTTCGGCCTCCCAAAGTGCTGGGATTACAGGTGTGAGCCACCATGCCCAGCCAGAGCATTTCTTTTTAAAAAAATTTTTTTTGAGACAGAGTCTCACTCTGTTGCCCAGGCTGGAGTGCAGTGGCGTGAGCTCAGCTCACTGCAACCTCCGCCTCCCGGGTTCAAGCAATTCTCCTGCCTCAGCCTCCCAAGTAGCTGGGATTACAGGCACGCACCACTACGTGTAGCTAATTTTTGTGTTTTTAGTAGAGACGGGGTTTCACCATGTTGGTCAGTCTGGTCTCTAACTCCTAACCTCAGATGGTGTGTCCACCTTGGCCTCCCAAACTGCTGGGATTACAGGTGTGAGCCACCATGGCTGGCCTTTTGTCTTATGATTTCAAAGTGTAAGAGTTCTTTATATATTCTAGATAGAAGTTCCATATCAGCTACGTGATCTGTAGATGCTTCCTTCCATTCAGTGGGTGGGAGGAATTACAGGTTGTTGAAATGGAGGAGATGGGGAGAGGATGATATTCTTGCAGATGAGCTGGACCTATTCTAATACCTGGATCTTGACATCTTAGTCCATTTAATGTTTGGTCACTAGGCTGTGAAAGACCTCAGAGATCACACCCTTTGATAGGCACCATAGAATAGAGGGTGGAAGGGGAAGAACCTGTGACCGCAAGAGGCAGTGTAGGGTAGTCCATGAGACTGGATCTATTGTGGAACAAAAAAACAAAAGGCAAAAAAACAAAAAATGAAAACAAACACCCAACGTCTTTTTTGTTTTTTTGACACAGAGTCTCTCTCTGTTACCCAGGGTGGACTGGTGGAGTGCAGTGGCAGGACCTCAGCTCACTGCAACCTCCGCCTCCCAGATTCAAGCAATTTTCCTGTCTCAGCCTCCTGAGTAGCTGGGACTACAGGCCCCTGCCACCATACCCAGCTAATTTTTGTATTTTTAGTAGAGATGGAGTTTCACCATATTGGCCAGGCTGGTCTCGAACTCCTGACCTCATGATCTACCCACCTCAGTCTCCCAAAATGCTGGGATTACAGGCATGAGTCACTGTGCTTGGCCTCTACTTTGCTTTTTAAGTGTATTAATAATATAACATAAAAAAATAACCTTTTAATGAAATTTAGGGATATCTGCATTTTATATGTATCCCATCCTTTAAAAGTATTTGGGTCTAAATTAGTTAAAAAGAGTCCCAAATCTCTGTTACATATTTGCACTTAATGGCCACAGGTACGCCTGATAAAAGTATGGTTTCAGCTAGGCCAGGTGGCTCATGCCTGTAATCCCAGCTACTCGGGAGGCTGAAGCAGGAGAATTGCTTGAACCTGGGAGGCAGAGGTTGCAGTGAGCAGAGATCGTGCCATTGCACTTCAGCGTGGGCAACAAGAGCAAAACTCTGTCTTGAAAAGAAAAAAAAATACAAAAAATTAGCCAGACATGGTGGTGGGCATCTGTAATCCCAGCTACTTGGGAGACTGAGGCAGAAGAATCTCTTGAACCCGGGAGGTGGACGTTGCAGTGAGCTGAGATCTTGCTATTACACTGCAGCCTGGGCAACAAGAGTGAAACTCGGCTGGGTGTGGTGGCTCACACCTGTAATCCCAGCACTTCAGGAGGCTGAGGCAGACAGATCACCTGAGGTCAGGAGATTGAGACCAGCCTGGCCAACATGGTAAAACCCCATCTCTACTAAAAATGCAAAAATTAAGCTGAACACAGTGGCATGTGCCTGTATTCCCAGCTACTTGGGAGGCTAAGGCTGGAGAATTGCTTGAACCTGGCAGGTGGAGGTTGCAGTGAGCCCAGATTGAGCCACTGCACTTCAGCCTGGGCAACAGAGCAAGACTCCATCTGAAAAAAAAAAAAAATGCCAGACTAAAAATCTGGAGACCTGCTAATAATTTTTTATATGATTATTTGTAAAATTAAACTAAACTGAAACATTTCTTAATCAGCATATCAGTAAATATTAAAGTTGACTAAGTGTATATAGAAACCTTGGTTGGAAACAGATTCTGCAAATCCTGAGAGAAGAAATTTTTTTTTTTTTTTGAGACGGAGTTTCGCTGTTGTTACCCAGACTGGAGTGCAATGGCGCTATCTCGGCTCACCGCAACCTCCATCTTCTGGGTTCAAGCAATTCTCCTGCCTCAGCCTCCCGAGTAACTGGGACTACAGGCACGCACCACCATGCCCAGCTAATTTTTGTATTTTTAGTAGAGACGGGGATGACCAGGATGGTCTCGATCTCTTGACCTCGTGATCCACCCGCCTCAGCCTCCCAAAGTGCTGGGATTATAGGCTTGAACCACCGCGCCCGGTGAGAAGAAATTTTTAAAAGGACCTCTGATCAAAAAGGATCAGCAACGAAGATATTTCAGGAGTAAATACCATGTGTGTTAGGCACTGACATGTACTAGCTGTGCCATTTTAGACAAGTTATTTGCTTTTGGGAGTCTCTTTCTTTTCTTTTCTTTTTTTGAGATGCAGTCTTGCTTTATTGCCCAGGCTGGAGTGCAGTGGCGTGATCTCTGCTGGCTGCAACCTCCATCTCCCGGGTTCAAGCAATTCTCCTACCTCAGCCTCCCGAGTAGCTGGGATTACAGGCCTGTGCCACCATGCCTGGCTAATTTTTGTATTTTCAGTAGAGACGGGGTTTCACCATGTTGGCCAGGCTGATCTCGAACTCCTGACCTCAAGTAATCCCCTGACCTCGGCCTCCCAAAGTTCTGGGATTACAGGCATGAGCCACTGAGCCTGGCCGAGTCTCTTTCTTTACAGGTAAACTAGGGAACCTATTATGTCAAGTATAGTATTGCCTTCTTGATAATAACAACAGTGAAGTCCCTGCCAAAAGCTTTATAGGCTTCATTTCACTCCATCTCACGTGAACCATGAAGTAGGTACTGAGAAGTAAAGCTGAGACTTAGCAAGGTCATATGGGTGGGTGAGTCAGGTGTGAGTGCACATTTGTCATCTGATTCCATCAATCATCTTTGCTTTTTTGTTGTTGTTGTTGTTGAGACAGAGCCTCTTGCTGTGCTGCCCAAGCTGGAGCGTAGTGGCATGATCTCAGCTCACTGTAGCCTCAACCTCTCAGGCTCAGGCAATCCTCCCACTTCAGTCTCCTGAGTAGCTGGGACTACAGCTGTGTGCTACCATGCCCTGCTAGTTTGTTTTTCGTATTTTCTGTAGAGACGGGGTGCTGCTATGTTGCCTTGGCTGGTCTTGAACTCCTGATTTCAATTGATCCTCCCAAAGTGCTGGGAGGCAGGCATAAGCTACCACACCCAGGCACATCTTTGCTTTTAAATATTTTTTTACATAGCCTTAAAATGCTGTGAAACCATTTTGTCTACTCAAAAACATTGTGTAATATTATGTGGGACCATTTTTAGAGTGAGGTCTGCTTCCACTGCTCCATATGTAAGGGATGATGGCAATAGTAGGGTCACCTTGAGATGGAAGAAATCCTGCTTGTGGAGATGGCAGGTAATGGAGCCCCCACACATTTCCTCATGTTCCCCGATGATAGAGAGGCAGGAACACTGTAGCATATGACGTAGTCGGAAATCTCAGGCGGGCGCAGTGGCTCACACCTGTAATCCCAGCACTATGGGAGGCCGAGGCGGGCAGATCACCTGAGATCGGAGTTTGAGACCAGCTGACCAATATGGAGAAACCCTGTCTCTACTAAAAATGCAAAAAAAAATTAGCCAGGCATGGTGGTGCATGCCTGTAACCCCAGCTACTCTGGAGACTGAGGCAGGAGAATCACTGGAACCCAGGAGTGGAGGTCGCGGTGAGCTGAGATTGAGCCATTGCACTCCAACCTGGACGAGAGTGAAACTCCGTTTCACACACAAAAAAGAAAGAAATCTCTTCAAATGTATTTAGAAACTACTAGATGCCTAGATATTTAACAGAATTACTCAACAAACTAGACTTAGGAAAATAAGACCCAAAGGTACAGTCCCAGTAGTGTCAAATCCAATGACTAGATGTCTAAGGTGGTGACTTAATTACTGTGGTAGGCAGAGTAATGGTCC